AAATTATATTAATTTTAAAAATTGAATAGTAAAATTCAAACTCAACATAAAATAACATGCATAAAAAATAAATTCAAAGTTAAAATTACATTCATAAATAAAAAAATCAAACATTGAAATCTAAATTGAATATAAAATCACAAACATATATAAAATAAAAACAGCATAAAAAAGGCATTTTTTAGGATCGAAACCGATCCGAGTATATTACACATAGGTTGGGCTAAAGCTCGACCCATTGTTTTTATGCTACACGGTCCGAAACTAAGACCACGAATAGGAATAAGACTTATTCCTCGTCCATTTTTTATCAACAACACCTAAACCATGATCTTCTTCCTACATTCATCTCTCTCTCTCTCTCTCTCCTCCCTCTTCTCTTTCTTCTTCTAAGAAGAACCTAAAATCCTCCAATTATCCTAAACCAAATGGATTCCTTCTCCTTCTTATGCATGTTCGAAAACCACACACCTAATGAGATCCAAAAGATTTCACCCTCTAAATCAATCATCCATAGTTCTCATCAAGATCGAAATCCCTAGATCCAAAATCCAACTTTTCCTTTTCCTCCAAACTAGTCAATCTCTACCTCAATTCATTCAATTCCTCAAATTGAGTGACCTCCGATCCTCTAGAACCTAATTTCCCGAGAACCCCTAAATTTTCATTGCCTTAGAAATCCAAAAAAAACCCTAGCTTTTGTTCTAGCTCAATTTGGCCTAGATTTAGGTTTAATCCCTAAATTATAAATCCAATTTGTAATAATTAGCCTTAATTTCAAACCCCTAACCTCAATTTTAAATAAAAAAACAAAACCTCAAATTCGAAAACCCTAATTTGATCGTAACCCAAAATTTCCAAAATTTCATTTTTGTAATTCAAGCTTCTATTTGGATGAAAAGCAAACACTTGTGTGTGTGTGTGTGTGATTAGAGGGGGTCAATTTTAGGGATGACGATGATGAACATCACTAGTATCAACATTCACAAAAATAAATTACATTGAAGCAAATAAGGAATAGCTTACCTCAAGAAGAATTCGGATTGAGGATGAAGAAAAAGCCTCGATAGGTTGCTTACGCTTAAGAAAAATTTGGTAAAATCCTCTTCCCTTTTCTCGTTTCTTTTCTTTTCTTTCTTATTATTATTTTTTAGTGTCTTCAATTCCAGTAACTAGGCTCGATTTATCTCCGATTGCTTTTGTGTTTTTTTTTTCTCTTTCAATGTTTTTTTGAACTCGCTAATTTTTTTTAATCCCTTTTTTTGTTGTTCCTGCTTCTATTTATATATGTTAAGAATTGGTTGGTTCCCTACCATGATGGTAAGGAATTTTGTAGGGTTGTGGGGATGTTGGCGGTTGTATGCTATAGGAATTATAGCATATGAGGGTTGTGGGAATGATTATAGGAGTTGTGGGGAGTTGGTTAGCTGCTTGGAGTTGCGGCATGATGAGGCAAATGTAAGGGAAGGTCTGGATCGATTGCGGTAGTAAATGGTTGCTAAACTTGGATAGCAAACTAAGCTGAGGAATTATCTAAGATAACTAGGAAATGCATTAAAGATTTAGGGGATTTGTCCCTCCATCCCTATTTTCTTTTTGTTGTATTTTTTTTTTTGTATTTTTTTGTATTTTTTTTTGTAATTTTCTATAATTTTGTAATAAGTTCCAAGCAAATAAATTTTTTTCTTGATTATCCAATTTCCTTTTTTGTATTTTTTAGACTAAAGAATAAAAATAAAAGAAGAAATAAAAGAAACTAAAAATAACAATTAAAAGTTTAAAATGAGCAAAAATTAGGGTATGACAACTATAGTTTTGATAAAACAATTTTTTCAATATTAGAAAGAGAGAATAAACATAATAAACGAGTTGAAAATATTGAAAATGAGAGTATATGGAAGACTATTTTTACACATCTTGATCTCTCGCACGACTATGAAAAGATATATTCTTTTATAATGGATGCAATTATATTTTGTTATCTTGTTAACTTAACAACACATGAAAATCTTCATATGCATTCAATGGATGTCATCATAACCTATTTATATGGTTCACTTGATAATGATATGCCTATATGATAGTTTTAGAAGGAGTTAAAATCTTTGAAGCATGTAATTTTTATTCGAAAAAATGCATTCAATTAAATTATAAAGAACTCTATATGAATTTAAACCATCCGGATGCATGTAGTATTTTTGCCTTAGTGAGTATTTGATAAAGAAAGATTATAAAATGACCCTATTTATCTATATGTTTTTATAAAAAAAAAAAAATCCAAAAAAGTGTGGTAATTGTTGTATATGTTTGTTGTCACTCAATTTTTAACCCTATTTTATTTTATGAATTGTTACCTTTTTATTAGGATTTTTTTAAGAATCTCATTATTTTTGTGATTTTAGAGGAATTAAAAAAAAGAATAAAAAAGAAGAAGGAGATAAATAAAAATTGGGATTTGGGATCCAATTAAAAAATATATATATATGAGAGATTGAAACCAAGGAAATTTTAATTAGAGCCTTAATTGAAAAAAAAATCCTAATTGGAAGTGTATTTGAAGAGAAAATAAAAAGATGAGATTAGAAATTGAGAAAAGAAGAAAAGTGAAGGGTGAATTAGGTTTTTACTCAAAACCCTAAAACTCCACCATATAACCTCTCTTTCTCTCTTGCTTAAAATTGAGTAGCCTTTTTATTTCTTTCACAAAAGAAACCTACACAAAACAATCTCTTTTAAAAAAACCTCCATAGCCAGCACCACTCAAACTCTACACCCATCATACAAAACAACCCAAAGCCATTGGCCACAACTTCACCCTTTCTTACTCCATTTCCATCGGTTTCCTCCTCCATTTCCGTTGGCCACAGCAGCCCCTTCCTCTTGCAATATATATATATTCGAATAATTTGTTTCAGATTTTGTTTTAAATAATGGCTTTTTTACTTGAAATTTGATATATTTTGATAGACTCATAATATAATACAGATTATTAAATTTAAGTTATTATTTTTAAAATAATTTTACATGTTCTGTCTCACCCCGCAGCATAGTATGAATAAAAAATTAATAAAAACTAAAAATAAACGTCCAAAAAAAAATAAATAAAATTTGGAAATAACTAAGAATACATCAAGTCTAAATGGCGTATGGAATGGAAGCCATCTGCACACTCCCATGTCACACACCAGTCCTAGAGCCCAACAAAGTTTATATATCCGAGTCCAATTCATTTGTTAACAAATGTTTTTTCAAAAATTTATATTGAAATAACCCAATAAATTGCAGACCTCCCCCATTGATAAACAAGACACAAACTAATTCAAAAATAAAAAATTCATTAATCAATAACCACTGTAGGGCTATATACTCGTAAACTGCTTGTAAAGTTTTGTTAGATTAGCATAGTCGTCTTATATCCCGTACTAATTGATTAATGACGAATTTTCGTCAGTTTAGCTATAAGCCTATCATACAAAGCTCACAAAATTTGACAATTTATATTTAATTCCTATTTTGTCAGGTTTAAAACATAAAAATTCCAAATAATAATAATAATAATCCAAACCTTAATACTTACAGTAACATTAGACGGTGTCATTATCAATTAAAGTATTACCTCATTATAAATTAAGTTCCAAACCTTTTAATGTTATCACTATCAATTAAGTCTAATGTCTTAAATCTTTCGATTTTATCAATTTTTCTTCAAATATAGTGAACATTAGACACTGACATTTTTTAATCCATCCATTGTTAGTGATATTTAATTATTATGTTCAATTTATATAGACTAGTTAAGTGCTTCCATTAGAGCCGTCAAAATAGGCCCAAATATACCGTAAATTAAAGACATTTTTAACATAAAATCACAGTAATTTTTTCCCTCCACTTTACTAGCTCATATGAAAAGAAAATTTACTATAATTTGAAGTTAAAATTATTGTTATGGGAGATTGGAGTTTATTTTGACGTATTTAATAACAATTTTATACAAATTGAATAGAATATGTAACTATCACTAACAATAGATGGATTGATGGGATAAACTCATATAAGGTTCATTAAAAGCGTCAAAATAAACTCTACAGCTCTACTACACTATAAGGAATAATTTTAACACCAAATCATAATAAAGTTTCTTTTTTATACGAGCTTATGAAATAGTGGGGAAAAAAAGGATTTTAACATGATTTAATGATAACATTATTTTTTAAGGCATGTTCGGGTTTATTTTAATTCTTCAAGCGCTTAACTATATAACATGCAAATTGGAGTGAATATTTCATTATCACTAACATTATATGAATTAAGAGGTGACATTGTGAAAGGTTCAATACATTTGGAGTAAAATTGATAAAATCAAAAGTTTGAGACTCAATTGATAACCAGGTAGTAGTTTTTTAAGTAAAATTGATACATCAAAAGCTGTAGGACTCAATTGACAGTGGGATAATATATTAAGGGCTAGAATGAGGTTTGTCCAAAATGGAATGATTTGTGGCATATATATATTAGAGTTAATTATAAATTAGATCCTCTATTTTAATAAAACTAATTAATTAGTTCTCATGGTTTCATAAATTATATATTTGATCCTTATATTTTTTAAATTTATTTGTAATTTAATTTTTTAGTACATTTCATGTAGTTTTTGAATTCATTTTGTTTTTGTTTTTGTTTTTTTTATTTGTTCTCTATAAGAACCTTGCCTTTTGAGATGTGAAGTGGGGGAGAGAAAATTTCATAATTGGAGTTTTGAATAAAATGTCCTTTTCATTTTTTTTTCTCAAAGAAAAAGAAGAAAAAGATAAGATGGAAAAATTAATAAGAAAAAAGGTAATTTTTGTAACAAAATATTACTAATTAAGCATAATCAACATTTGGTCAAAAGATTATTTCATTAGTTTTGATACTACAAGGATCAATTAATTGTTTTGATAAACTATAGACACTAAGTTATAGTTAACAGCACACGTGACATACAGAAGGAGAGAGAGAAGATGGAGAAGAATAATTTTGATGCCGTTGTAACAAACCACAAGTTGCTAGTAGCTGCAGTAGGTTTGAATCAGTGTAAGAGTTGGTTCATCAAACAATATCTACCCGCTGTCGCAAAAAACATTCTTAAGTGGTTCCAACGCCCCATAATCTCTTCGGCAGCTTACTTTCGCATTTGTTTAAATCAAAACCTGCATAGTGATATTTCAAATCATAATCTGAAGAACCCGGAAAGAGAAAAGTTTGTTCGCAAAGAAATGAAGTCTGAGGTCGTCTTAATGATACTGACGGTGGCTATCCTAGGGGTTGCAATTGATGGATGCCAATGCAAGGTTGTGCAGTTCATTTTCGGAGATTCACTCTCTGATGTCGGTAACAACATGTACCTCAGTAGGAGTCTTGCTCAGGCAAGCTTGCCATGGTACGGCATAGATTTTGGCAATGGACTGCCTAACGGCAGGTTTACTAATGGCCGGACGGTTGCTGATATAATAGGTAATGTCTAATTAGATGCCGCTGCTACATATTAAAATTTGTGATGATCGAATTAAGCCAAGGAAGAAGTGTATGTTCTTTTACTTTACCCATAATAGTTCTCCATCAATAATGGTAATGCTTATATACATATGCAGGTGACAATACCGGTCTACCAAGACCACCAGCTTTTCTAGACCCATCTTTAACAGAAGATGCAATACTGGAAAATGGTGTAAACTATGCTTCTGGGGGTGGTGGCATTTTGAATGAAACTGGTGGCTACTTTGTAAGTTAATCAGTTCCTAGGAGTAGGAGTACAAGAGATGCATACACACGAAACACACACACACACACACACGCTAGCTCTAAGACTAAATTGAAACTCGTAATTAAGTATAATCTAACTGGCACAGATTCAAAGGCTTTCTCTCAATAAGCAAATCGAGTTATTTCAAGGAACGCAACAGCTGATAACGAACAAAATTGGGAAAGCAAAAGCACAGGAGTTTTTCCAAGAAGCTCGATATGTGGTTGCATTAGGAAGCAATGACTTCATCAACAATTATTTGATGCCAGTTTACAGCGATTCCTGGAAATATAATGATCAGACCTTCGTTGACTATTTAATGGGAACTCTTGAAGGACAACTCAAAGTAAGTTAAAAGTTATTCGTATGTACGTAGTTGTTTTCAAATTAGAGAGTATATATAACAAGAAAATCCTTCGGTTTCAGTTTCAAAAAGTAAAGTAGTCATGATGTGCGAGTTTTTTTGTACAGCAATTGCATAGATTAGGAGCACGGGAGCTGATGGTTTTCGGGTTGGGACCAATGGGTTGCATCCCTCTCCAAAGGGTCCTAAGTACAACTGGGGAATGTCAAGATAGAACAAACAAGCTCGCTATAAGTTTCAATCGAGCTTCAGGCAAGTTATTAGATAATTTGTCTTCCAAACTTGCAAATGCGAGCTTCAAATTTGGAGACGCTTATGATGTTGTTGACGATGTCATCAGCAACCCATACAAATACGGTGCGTATGATCCCTTTCTATTTAGCCGCTCCCCTCATTTTACGTACGTACGTACTCTGCTTCATTTTCCCCTCCTTTTGATTAATTTTGTCCAATAGCTAGCTCATATCTCTTCTGTAGGTCTTAGTAGCGCGTATATACATAGGAATGACAATTAATGAGCAGCAGATCTTGTATACATCTGAATCTAATTATTATTAATTCACCTAATTAACCCATAAAAAAATGTCTAATTTTGGTTTATGTTTGCCCTTCCAAGAAACCTCCTAAGTCTGCCACTCTTTGTGGTCTCATTTGTTAATTATTTAGATACCTTGAATTTGATATATGCAAGAGATCCTTCGACATATATGTACGTACCGTACGTGTGTTTTAGTAACACAGTTGTAATATATACGTATAAATCAGAATATATAGTTTAAAGTAGCTTACCGGTTTTCCAATTTCAATACCAACAAGTATATTGACTTTTTTCTTTCCTGCATTAATTTTCGTGATTGGTTCTTAATTAATTTTGGGTTTGTAGGATTTAATAACTCGGACTCCCCTTGCTGCTCCTTTGGGCAAATACGACCTGCGCTTACATGTGTTCCTGCATCAACGTTGTGCAAGGATAGAAGCAAGTACGTGTTTTGGGATGAATACCATCCATCAGATGGTGCAAATGAGTTGATTGCAAATGAACTTATCAAGAAATTTGGATTTGCGCATGTCAACGACACGAATTCTCCAGCCTCAGCACCATCACCTGTTATTGCCCCATCCCCAGCGGAATAAAAGTTGGTTCTAATTTTTATTTTTTGTCTGTAATTTTTTATTTTTATTTATTAATCTCGCCATGATTTTCTCATACATTCAGTAATTATTATTGAAGTCTAGCTAGTCAACTACACATAAGTTAATTATGGTTACCATTTTATGTTTTTGGAATTCATTATACTTTATATTTTATATATTAAAAAATTAACGTTTTTACTTTAAAATTATCGGAGTTAACTCTTGTGTTTGAGTTTTAAAAGTAGATTTATATAGAAAATACTATACTTTCTATTGTCCGAAAAACTTATGTTTTCTCGAAACTTTTATAACCAAGTCTCAATATATATATTAAGAAAAAAAGAAAAAAAAAAGCTTATGATTTTGGAAAATTTATGCCATTTATGAGTACTGATCATATCGAAATGAAATTGAATGATTGTGCTTTCTAATGATACCAAAATGAAATGACATTAAGTTAAATGAATAATTTTTCAGACCGAATTTTTTTTAATACTAATTAGACGTTTTGGTTGTCTATTCCATACATTAATTATTTTTTCAAGAATTACTTGGCCATTTTATGATATTTTTGACCAAAATTCAATTCAATTTCTAGCTAATATAAATTAACAGAATTTTAGTACAAATTAAAGTAGAAAGAATAAAACAAAAAATAAAAATAAAAAGTATAATAACAACCAAAATAAAAGGTAGGAGAATAATTAACTCATTACACAAAAGTGTGGTAGCTTCATCGTTATCGGAATGAAATGAAATGTAGCTTTACTATTCATATATTTAAGATGAGCACACATGTTACTCGTGGACTTATGTATTAAAAATCTCTTCCGTACTTAAAATCCTAATATCCAGGCCATTGAAAAAAACTTTTCCTGTGTTTTGCTTCATTTTAGTACTCTTTAAATTTCACTTAAGTTGTATTTTGGTCCTGATTCCATTCATGGAGAGTGAAAGAGGCAAAAATTAGGGAGAGAAAAAATGAGAGAGAAGCGAACTATCAAGACTTTTTGGACCATAATTTTGATTTGAAAAAAAAAAAAAAAGAGTAAGCATCGAAGAAGTCATATAAATGAGTTGAATTGATTGATAGTAATGAGAAACTCATCATTTTTTTAAAAAGTAAGCACCAAAATTTATTTTTGTTTCAAGACATTCATTTTGATTTAAGATCATTTGAAGAGGATTCAAATAGATTTTGAAGTTGCAAAGGAGTTTATTGATTTTTTTGGATAAGTCGTATGTCTTTTTAGTTGAATTAAAGTTGTAAAAAAAAAAAAAAAAAGCATTTTGGACCGCCATGGTCGATAGCCCTTAATTTTCGAGTAACTAGTGAGTTACTGCAAGGAAGCAGTAGGCAACATGTCGTTCTCAGTGGCTGATGCGTCGTTTCTTTTTATTCTTTTGTTTTTTTTTTTCCAAAAAAATCTTACTCGGACTATCTTCATTTCTCTTAAAAATAAAATAAAGCATACGAACCTAGTGTTACTAAGCCAGATGTCTTCCTTCATTTTTTTTCCCAAATATTTATAGTTTTTATTTATTTTTTATGGAAAATCTTTTATTATATTTCTCTTAATAATGTAATTTTTTATGTGATTTCTGAATTAATTCCTACATTTTATTTTATTTTTCTTATACAAACTTATGATATTGTTTTTGATTTTCTTTTGGTGATGCACATCCTTAAAATTATGCTAAGATTTTTTTACACAACTCCAAATGCATTATTAAGGAAAAATCTTTTAATATACCCGTAATTCATTGCAATATTTCTCATCGTACCCTTCTATAAACAAAATAAGTCAATTGTATTCTTTTATTTTGCTTATATTCTCTAATATACTCCTTAATTTATCAATTAATTTTATTAAAATTGAATGTTACAAGACGCAACATTTGAATAACATGAATTTATGAAAATGCTCCTTTAAATTAATATAGTATGTGTAATAGAATAAAAATACACAAACACATATGTAGGGATTCGAACCTAGGCAAGCCTGGTTACATATTGAACTATTTTGAATAACGCACATGAATGCTAATTTCGTTTGTTCGAAACGACAATTTTTATTGAGTTAAAGGGGCATTTTTATCAAATTATTTTAAATCACTAAATACAAAAAACAAGTTTATACAACCTAAGAAGTTGTTGATGGATGGAATTAGCAAAATATTATCAATAAAAATATTCTTTTGGTTAGATAGTGGTTCATTAATGATGACTCGAGTTTTGTTTTTATTATGACAAATAGTGAAAACAAGACAAGTAATGATATATAATAATCAAAAGATAAAGCTAAACGAATTATCAACATACGTAATTTACATGGTTCGATAAATTGTCTACTCCATGGACAAGAGGAAAGTTTTATTAACTTGATAATAGGAGAATACTAGAACCCCGGATGCTCAATACAAAGTCTTTGTCATTTACTTTATTTCCTAAACAGAGACATAAAGAGGTTTAAATACCTCATACTCATAAAGAAAAAAACCTAATGCACTAAATATATTATTGGCCCATAAAATTCAAGCCATATATGACAAATCTCCACCTTGTCTTGAATTCTAGAAACCTTCAAGAATGTCAAATAATTCCTCAAAACACACCTCTAAGCTTATGTGAGCTAACTTGGTGTAAGAAACAAGAGATGTGAAGAAAGAAAATATTGACTTCAACATTAAGACTAACAGATTCCTTCCTCCAACAAAATCCCAGCATGCACCGATGAATGCTTAAGGCACATGAGCACAAGACAAATGTTTCACACGGGCGAAGCATGAAGCACGGGAGAGAGAAGAAAACTCACACAATCGTATCTCTCTCCTTCACAAGGTCGGGCCTCTCTTTCCAAGCAACACACTTTGATTTTGTTAACACCACTCGAGTCCAAATAATGTGTGAACTAATTTGTTATAATAGGTTTAGTTAACACATCAATTGGATTGTCTTTAGTGTAAACTTTCTTCACTCGCAATCTTCTTGTCGAAACTGCTTCACAAATAAAATGATACCCGATATCAATGCTTGGTCCTCTCATGATGTGTTTGGTTTTTAGTTAAGTGTATAACACTCTAGTTATCATAAATGACAACTGAATTTTCTTTTTGTTAAAGAACAAGTTCCTCTATAAGATTTCGAGTGAATAATACTAGAGAACGAGATCACTAGACGTGACTTGTCATGATAACTCATTTGGTTTAGTTTATGGGTATCTCATACAAGATGGATACAAGTAGTCCTTTGACTTGAAGTTATTACGGTTGTCTCATTAGAGGATTGGTATACTTTGACATTTGTTTTGATAAGCTCGGTAAAGAGTTGTACATGGGCGATTCATTGGGTACATCAAAAATTTAATAGTGGTTGGTGGATAATTAAGATAGAATATGTCATTCATTATATGGTAAAGGAGTTATCACATTGAATTTCGATGAATATCCGCTCAAGAATTTATGGCCACAATGAAAGTATACCAATAAAGCTTGATTGGCTTACTTAAGAGATAAGATATTTAGAGATTGAAGAAAACTTATGTGATCATAATCGAATAGATAACAATGTTAGTATAGGTGCCCAAGATCCAATCATTTTAGATGGGTTTGACTTATTATATTATTTTATTGATTATAATAAAAGAAGTCTTTCCATTAATTCTTATCATTTGTATTTATTCATTATATAAAATTAAGTAAAAGTCCATACAATATGCATTTGTATTAGTGATTGATCGAAATATGTGAGATAAATACTAATACATATAAATGATATTGTTAAACGTCCTAACTCGTAACATGTTCAAGAATGGACATTGACTACATGCCTAGGTAGACTTGTGAGTGTTATGCTCATGCTATATGATAGCGAGTATGATATCTCACACCTATTGACATAACGATACCAAAACAAGCACTTAGGTGATTTATATTAGAGAATATATCATCGACTTTACTCATCATGATAATCCATTTGGTTTAGTCTATGGAAACTCATACGATATGAGTACAATTGGTCCTTAGACTTGAGGTCATCATGGTTGTCTCATTGAAAGATTTATGTACTTTGACACTCGTTTCGATGGATCCAGGTAAAGGATTGCATATGGACGAATTGTTGGGTACACTAGGAATCTAATGGAGGTAAGTGAATGACTAAGATAGGACATGTCATTCCTTTTACACTAAAGAAGTAATCACATTGTACTTCGATGAATGTATACTCAAAAAATCTATGGTCATAGTTAGGAGTAAACTAATATAGCATATTTGATTTACTTTAAGAGCTAAGACATTTGGGAATTAGAGAAAACTTATGTGATCATAATTGAACAAGACTAATAACTAAGTTTGAGATCACACTATGATAAGTTGACATGAGGACTCGAATTGTATGGTAACCTGTTCATGAAAGGTAATAATGGATTAATTAATCCTTTTTGAAAATTGGGTAGTCATGATGCCTTGCTAGAGGAAAATCTTGACTTATGTATCAAGAGATAAAAGAGGTATCTTTTATTATTGATCTATTACTAACATATTTAGGAGCCTATTGAGTCACACATATAAGTTTAAGCATTCATATGATTAAAGAGAAGCAAAGATATTGGAAAAAGTTTTCAATTATAAAATTTTTCTATTTTGGAAAGGTTTTCAAAAATAAAAAGTTTTCTAAAATGGAAAGTTTTCTATTTTAGAAATTAGTTTTCTAATTTGGAAGTTAGTTCTAAATTTGAAAGTAAATAACCTAAATTGAAAATGAGTTTCCTAATTTAGGTTAAAGGGTATTTTGAGATATTATTTCCTAATTTTAGATATCTAAAATTATCTAAGTTTATTTATTTGGATTGTCTAAATTAATTAATTGGACCAAAATGATTTTGGGCCGTTAAGTTTAATTAAAAGTCTAAAGATATTTTGGTGGGAGGATAAACATAAACCTTATTAGATAAGGTTGAATATTTTATAGATAAAGGTCAAAAGCTCACATGTTAAAT